GTGGGCGATTTCGAGGATGTTGAGGAACAGGGAGACGGTGGCGATGCTGTTCATGAAAACCATAAAGATGGTCTTCTCTGTGGGTCGGGACACAAAACAATCCACCGTGTTAGGGCAAGGGGGCCGCGTGCACTTGTAAAGGGGGGACATGTGAAACCCGTATAAAAGATACTGACCTATCATAAAGCCCACTTCCACCACCGACCGGGTCAGGATATGTAGGACATAGGTGCGCAGCAGGGACCCCCTCAGGGGTGCCTTATTCACTTTCTTCTGTTCCTCCAGCTTACGCAGTTCCCTCTCCACTCTCCTATGTTCCTCAGGCATGGGCTCCAGGTCTTCCAGCTGAGCCCGCAGGTGGGCTTTCCTCTTTTGTCGCTCCTTCTCGAGAGCCCTTAACCTGTAGAGTGCGTGGCCCATGTAAACTAGAGATGGAGAAGAGACAAATATAATCTGCAGTACCCAGTATCTGATCAAAGAGATGGGGAAGGCTTTGTCGTAACAGATGTTGCTGCAGCCCGGTTGTTCCGTGTTGCAGATGAACTCGGACTGCTCATCATCCCAGACATCTTCGGCAGCCACTCCCAGCACCAGCATCCGGAATATGAACAGGATTGTGAGCCAGATTTTGCCAACTATGGTGGAGTGGATGTGCACTTCTTCTAGGATGCTCCCCAACAGGTTCCAGTCCCCCATGGTCAGAAGATCATATCTGAAATACAAAAAAGGGTATTATTTTAATACAATACTAGATTTCTTTGGAAATAGCCTTTTTAGTATTTTCTTTTAAATAATGTTATTTCATATACATTCTTCTGATAGCAGGAGAGCTCTTAGTAGCTCATCATTATTTTCTACTTAATGGGTCTTTAAATGAATGCAGCCTTTATGATTACTGGTGAAAGATGAGAATGCGAGATTATTTTAAGTTTAAGAGAGATTGATTACAGCTGTAAACCACAGTACTTCTTAACTGCCTACATTTTTACACTATTTTCTTCCCACTGGGAAAGTAGACTTTTTTTTTTCACTTTGCAAATCTTTTGCGAGCTAAAGTTTAACTCTACACCCACTCCATTCCACTGTCTGTGGCTTTGCCAGAGTTCTGGGTGAAAAACAATGAGAATAATATATAATGTTCATGGCTTCCATTTGATTGATGAAGTTTTGAGAAGTATCCTATAACTGTGACAGAAAAACATTTCATTTTGCACCCCAAAGTAGTAGTTATTAGTGCCATCCAGTCAATATTTTTCCGTCTACCAGGGTAATGATCCTCAAATTTCTCCCTTGGATTCCTAAAACTGCAAATACAGAGCTAATTTACACATAGCTGTACGTGTATAAATAGTCTCAGTTCCAGGATAATGGTAATAAACTGAGTGCTTCTAGAATCAATACCTTTAATTTTATCCATTTGAAGTCTTACTCAATCGCCAATACCTTAATTATAAATTTCAACATACGAGATAAATAGAACAGGGATTACATAATGGAGTGATGTAATGGTTTTTGGCTGTGTGAGATGATCTTTTAACTACCTCTTTCCCAGAAGCTCTTTGTTTCACCAATACATTGATCTACATTCTGCTGCCAGATACTTGATTTCCAAGCTGCTTCTCTGGAAACTACTCAGAAGCTCCAAGTAATGTGGGGAATTGAAATGTAAGGTACTCATCTGTTCATTTGTGAATGCACCACACCTTCGGTGCTGTGTCCCTGGAATTCCTTCTGCTAAGTGTTAATAAAATATTGAAAGCAACCGGGATCACATCTACCTTTGGGTTTGAACTTAAATTTTTTATGCTACTGTGCTGTCAAAACTTCCCAATTTCCACTGAAACACAGCCTTTAGTAAATTGCCTTTTTTAAGATTTTAAGAGTGGCTGGTTGCAGTACTCAAAATCTTCGAGAAATTTAACTGATAGCACAGCTGGATGATATCACCATTATCAATATAGCTTGGTTATGGTTTATGATATGATCCCATTCTGCTTGGAGGCTGTATTTATCCACATTGCAAGTAAAGATTTTCAATTGTAACTGACAGTGCAGTCATTCTCTGCAGAGGCATCCTACAGTCTTTATTATTGCATTTCTGGGATTTGGTTTTGCTCTGCAAATTGGAATTTTCACAATGAACAACTTCTCTTTTGACACAGGGAATTGGTTAAGCAAACCTAGCTCACCAAGCAGTTTCTTAGGTGCTGTGATGGACACGGAATATCTTCTTTCACCACTCTTTACCACCCATGTACGACATTGAAGTAAGATACATAGAAAAAAATCAGCAATAATTATTGTAGTCCATTTTCCTTATCTTTAAAGAACAATGTCAGATCTTTCTTCTGACTTCATATGGATTTTTTTCAAAGCAGATCTCAAAATTGTTGCAACTTCGTAGGTTGGGTGGGTGTAAAGATGTTCACACATCGAAATGTCCACTAGAAAACGTTACATCTCAAGCTAACAACGTTGAACCTGTTCTTCAGAGCTTGGAAGTGCAGATACAGAATAGTTCACTGTCGGTAAAAGGAGAAGTGGAGGACTACATAGAGCAAGCTTCCAAACCCAGAGTCCTCAAGAGGCCAAGTATGAGTGGGTGATGCCGATTGCTCTATACCACCTCCCCTGAAAGGTGACTGAATGGTGCTATGCAACAGTTAAGGAAAGGAGCTTTGGGTGTATTTGCTGTGTTGTGAGTGGCTGGTCCCTCATGGAAACTGACAAACTCCGCAAAATAAAATAACCAAGTGAGATGCTAAAGTGTGAATGCAGGAATAAAAGGAAAAGGAGTCATGCTTTAGTCCCAAAGATGAGAACATAGCATTCCTCTCGCAGTAGGAATTTTCACTGCCTCTTTCAGAACAGAAGGTGAATGTAACCATTCAGGGTAAGGGACTATAAACATATCTCTCTGCCTCTACAGATGTGTTTGTTTCTTTGATTGTCTCTACCAGGATTCAAACAACTCTATCCTCATCTTTCCTTTATAACAGCTTCCAGGAGAAAGTAATCACAGGAGTAGTCTAATTCGTTTCTCTAAGTGAGCTTATTATACCAAGACACTTCCTCCCAAATCTGCACTAGTAGAACTGCAGTATGAATATTGCCACGTTGTGTGTAAAGCAAAGTTAAGTCTAAAGCCACGAAAGCCAGAGTTTCTAAGAAATCAGCCAAAACTACTTTACAACCTTGTCATAGCAATGTGATTTCAATTTTTCCATCTGTCCTTTCCCTGTTGTCATTTGAGCTCTGTATAACAGAGAATTTCAGTTTACTCTAAGGGTGTCATCACAAATATCAATGATATTATTTCCAGTCTACTACTGTACTAGAAATTCTAGTATTAGAATAGAATCATAGAACCATAGAATCTTTTTGTTTGGAAAAGACCTTTAAGGTCATCAAATCCAATCTAACCCAACACTGCTCACACCAACACTAAACCATGACCCTCAGCACCTCATCCACACATCTCTTAAATACCTCCAGGGATGGCAACTGAACTACCTGCCTAGGCAGCCCTGTATACTAGCCTAGTACACTAGAGATACTCCATTTTCAGTATAGACTGTGCATACCTGAGACATTTCCCATTTTTACTGTCTGACTACCTTCGTGTCTGTCCAAATATTTTTATATGGTTATTTCAAACAATAGAAACTCATACATGTAATCAGTTATAACCAGATGGAAACCCACCATTTCTCTTGGAAGTTTATTTCTTGGCTTTGTTACTTCTTTATTTTAAAGTTCATTTGATCATTTGCCACTATTCAAATCACTTCTGTATTAAATTAACACCAGGATTTCCTCAGCTGTGATTTGAAAAAGCAGAGTTCAATCTTAAATTTGTCAAAAAGAGTAACCAGCTAAGATGCAATACTCCTGGGTGTACTTCGCATTCCTTCCAGTCTGGCAGGGACCTGCCTGCTCCATACTGTCCAAGAATAATTATTATTCTGTCGCTTACCTTGGAAGAAAGCTCTTGGTCAGTCTATCCTAGAGCATTGCAGAAGGAGCACGCACCTCACAAACCTTCGTTCAACAGATCTAGGACATCTTCTTTATTCCAAGAGCCAAGGCATAGACGTGGTACGCAGAGCGGACTTCTCGGTTCTTTGTAGCTGGATGTCAAGATCACTCAGTCTAAACTATCTGTGCAAGGTTTAAAAATCATCAGATGATAGGATGGTGCCTCTAGCCAAAATTATCATGCAATTATTTTAGTCAGTGGCATCTAACAAAGCCATTCCCTCGAGGCTTGATCGGTACTGCCATAGTTTGCAACGGCCCTAAGCCTTGTTTTAGTCGGTTCTTCAAATGTCACACCTCCGCCCAGCTCCCAAATGAAATTTTGATGTGTAAAACGGCTAAAGAGGCACCCTTTACTGTACAACAGAGTCTTACATTTTCTTTACATTCCATTAGTTTCGCTTTGAATCGATGCCCAAGGATCGATCGGTCATGTCCGATTTCATACTCTGTTGCCTGGTGAGTTAATTTAGGATGCGTTAGACCGAGTCTTTGAAAATGGAGGCCACAGGAACCGACATCAGTCTTTGGTTAGAAACACAGGTTTTTGGAATGGTAACCTTTCTTCAGCAGAGATAAAGAGCTGAAGCCCATTCAGAATTGGTATGTGTGAGAGACAAGGTTTAAAAGAGGAAGGCAAGTTGCCAAAATGGGATTTTGTGAGAAATCAGGGCCACCAGACCTGAGACCCCGATACTGACATTCATCCTAACCACCCACACCTCCATGGGCCTTTCTCATCCCTACGCCTGCGCTCTGACACTGACTCTCAAGCCCACGTGCTCTCACGTACCTGTCAGCGGCATTTTACCTTCATCTCTCTTTCCAAATTCAGTCACAACGTCCCTAAGGTGTTACCTTGCTGCTTCAGCTCTCTCCGAGCTGCGACTCAGGCCTGGGTGCCCTTGTGATGCCTCACTGGGAGGTTTGGTTGACCTGACATCTCCAGCGGCTTCCACAGCTCCTGGGCATTTCTCAGGCGCACCCTCTGCAGCTCTGCTCACCGTGAAGTCTTGAGAACTGGGCGAGACCTGCAGCACCTGCAATTTATTCATCCCACCGGCGCACACGCTGTGTCGCAGCTTGTTCTTGGCCCAGCGCATTTCTGTCTCACCTCTTCTCCCTCCTCAGCAAGTACCACAGGCTGCTGACCTCACTCTGCCCCCACAATTACCTGGTTTTCTCAGCGGACAGGGAAGGTGACAGTAGGCTGCTTAGGGACAATTGGCCACGGTTCTGCTTTAGTAGCAGAATAATTGGTGATGTTAAAGGACTAATCATGCAAGCTTGTTAATGGACTGTAGAGTTAATTGCACGCAGAAGGGAAGCAGGGCCCAGCGCACGGGGGTGGTGGGAGGAATCGGGATGGAGAACAGGAGTGTGGCGTAGTCCTTTGTGTTTGGAGACGAGCAGCAATCTCTGGTGGCTGAGGAAAAGTCCTTGCTATAAGCATCTGCCATAGGTGAGATCAGCTTACAGTGTGAATGCAAACAGGCAGCAGACAGGCGTCTGTGTGTGCGCGTGCCTGAACGTCTGAAACGGAACTTCCGAACTTGAGCACAGGGACGTTTGCCAGCTGCAGCCAGTACTGGCTGGCTGTAAATTGTGATGACACCTGGACTAAACACAAGTGGCACATCTGAATCCTGTCCACAAGA